TATATATATATATACATATACATACATAAAAAATTGTTTAAATAGTTTTTTTCTTTTGCAGCCAGAGAGAGGGAAATGTATTAAATTTCACCATGTGAAATTCTGGGTGGGAAATGCCAAACAGGTGAGTTAAATCTGTGCATAAAAAACAGTTATGAAAATATTACTGTATTATGATAATATACAGCTTTGAAATTAAAACAAGATAATTTTGCACTTAATTCAATTTTCAGCAATGATACATTTGTACTGGAAACCTTAGTGAAACTGCTTTGATGCAGAAAGTTTCAATGAGAGTCTCTGATAAGATATTGGCACTGAATATAAACTTAGTGGCACGATTTAAATGTAATAAATTGGGATGAAATGAAATGAAAGTAGATTAGGCCGCTAATATTGTTGCTTATATATTTGACTTGCTAATGTTAGCAGAAGATCAGAGAAGCTTCCAGAGATCCTGAACTAATGCAGATGACGAAGGTTTCTCTGAAGATGAAATCAATAACGTGATCTTAATCTAACAGTGATGCAATAGCTCATCTCATCTGATCTCGATAGTCTCAGTGGAACAGGTTCACATATTAACACAGTTGACCAATATGTCGTCATTTGAGACTACAATAAAGTCAAATACAAAACCTGAAACTCTTTCCTGATGAATCAGATTGTGAACCTCCGAGCTCGAGGGATGGTTCCTGTCCACACCCGATAATTACTACGACACCCTACAGCAGAATCTCAAGACGGCCAAGATCAAGGTGAAGGAGGACCTAAAAACACTGCAGGTCAGAGAAAGCAATATGACAGTCCATTCTGGGACACATTTGAATGGTTTTTCTAATGCATTTTTTGAATGCATTCGTTCTTTTATCCAATGCAGGAGTTAAAAATCTTTGTAGACTATGACGATAAAGGTTACCTGCTACAGATCTTCACCAAACCCGTGCAGGACAGACCGACGCTCTTCCTGGAGGTCATCCAGAGGACCAACCACTCTGTGAGTCTGTGTTTGACCTCATTCATCCAGGCTTAATATGGAAGCCCGTTTTCGCCTCTGAATTTAAAAAAAGGTCATTTGACTTTTTCTCAGAATTGCGACTGTAAGAAAATGGTCTCTCTTTTTCCGCCTCAGAATTGGACTTCATAAATCACAGTTGTGAGTTTATATCTCACAATTCTGAGGAAAGAAGTCAGAACTGCAAGGGGGGGAAAAAGTCAGAATTGTGAGAAAAAAAAGTCAGAATTGCGGGAAAAATGTCTGAATTAAACACACACTTCGTTGTTTCTTATGCATTTACACACTCCTGCCATCGAATTGTTGTATAAACGCAATATCACACTCATAGCCGTGAGATTTAGCTGTATATTGGCACGATATATGATATATATTGATACATGGCCATATTGCACAGCTACTCCTGTGATATTGCTCATATTTATGTGAATATATATCAGAGCATATATGCTGTCAAATGATTAATGGCATCCACAATAAAAGTTTTTATTTACATAATGTATGTGTACTCTGTTTATTTATTATGGATATATAAATACACACACATACAGTATATATTTTGAAAATATTTACATGTATATACATTTATATTATTATATATAAATATATAAACATAACTTATTTTTCTTAAATATATACATGCATGTGTTTGTATATATATATATATACACACATTACACACTCATATATTATGTAAACAAAAACTTTTATTTTGGATGCGATTAATCGTTTGACAGAATATATATATATATATATATATATGTGTGTGTGTGAATATAGTAAACTTGATATCAGGATTAGGCATAAAATAATGTCATACAGATGAAATATATTAGATCAAATATATAGTCTTTATGGAGGTACAGTAACTACAGTACTGAGTTTGAATCTGAGCTCTGAGAAAACATGTTTGAACAGGCTCATAGTTTTATTAGGGGCTTTTTAAAGCTTGTGAAGTGAAGGAAATGCCTAAAGACAAGACATTTCTATTTGAATCGCACTAAAGGGGGCTTTACTTTCCTCTGTGGTGTTTAAACTGTAAAACAGAGCAAGAAATCGAACCCAACGACACTTACAGATCAAATCCAAAGACTGGTTTGTTGTTAAAGGACAATGAAGCTCTAAAACACATTTTTTGAGATGTTAGCAGATATATACAGGTTGCACATCGCTGAAAACAATGTTAGTATTCATTATGTTTATTATTAAGGGGAACTTAGTTACTTTTTCTGTGCCATTTAATTCTCCTGGTTTGAAAAGCAAAGTTGAATATATGTAACAAAATGTGAGGTAAATGTGTAAAAAATTATATTTAAAAGTTGATATATATTTCAGGAAAATACTTCTGATTTTCTACTTCAAAGTTTGACGTTTACTTCAATATTACTTGCCGTGTCTTTGTAATTATTCGTGAAATGTTTTGTAGGTGGCTACTTTATTATCTGGTTTGAAAAGCAAAGTTGAAGATATGTAACAAAATGTGAGGTAAATGTGTAAAAAATTATATTTAAAAGTTGATATATTTCAGGAAAATACTTCTGATTTTCTACTTCAAAGTTTGATGTTTACTTCAATATTACTTGCCGTGTCTTTGTAATTATTCGTGAAATTTACTAGCAATTTCTCAGTGAAGTATATTCTACACCTCAGATGTTTACATGTTTTATCTGGGGCTAATTCTCGTTTTTTTTCATCACAAGAACCCAGTTAAACCTGTCACTCTGCCATGTCTTCTTATCCACTAGGGTTTTGGAGCTGGAAACTTCAAATCTCTGTTCGAGGCCATCGAGAAAGACCAGGATGCCAGAGGAAACCTCACGGTTCTCACACCGAGGAGCCAGGGCGTCCCGAAGGCCTCTTACTAACACACACAACTGCATTAAGATGATTTACTCAAGCCTCATGCTGGAGTGAAATAATATGACACCATCAATTAAAATGTCCAGGACGACAATAAAGACATTTAATATAAGAACTGTATAATGTATCTGTATCGTTTTCTTATTTGTTCATCTGCTACATCCACTTTCAGAGTCAAATGGGACTGAAAAAAAAAACGTAAAATATTTTTCTGCAGAAGATTTAAGTGGTTCTTGCCTGTGCGGAGCTGGTCTTAATATGTTGGTCTCTTGTTAAAGTTAGAATAGTAGTTTATTCAACCACTAATTTAAATTTCAATAAACATTTAATATACTTGCTGAGAAAGTTTGATCGGGTTTGGGTGAACAACCAATATAACTTTCAAAAATTAATAACTTTTGAAGTTGGTAAAAGTCAAAAATGTTTTGTAGGTGGCTACTTTATTTATTTTTTAAGTTAACTCAAGTATTTATTTATTGGATATGACAAAATAGTTACTATTAACTACCCATACATAATACAAACATCCAAAATAATAAAATAACTAAAACATTAAATAAATAAATAAAAACAGGGACCTTAATTTTCATCATTACTTCCCGTGTGTGTGTGTGTGTGTGTACAATTATATATTAAATAAAAACAAATGAACACCACATTCTCTGTCTTTTTATTTCAAAATAATTTATTTGTATATAATCGGAATGATGCCAGGTTTATACATCTATGACGGCAGCTGTACGTTTCATAAAGAATATCATTCCAAAAGTGAGAAAATAACATTTTAAAAAATGTTCTCAGACCTGGACAAAAATGGATAAATATATTAGTAAATAAATATATTAGTGACATTACCATATTGAAATGTTCTATTATATATAAAATACAACACTTTATCTTATAACTGTTTTGTCTTTTTTTTTTTTTTTACACAAAATATTGAACATATACTGGCATATCCCTTGATTTCTGAAGGGATTTAGCTCTATTAAAAAAGGCAGTTTTGAGAAAAAAAAGTCAGAATTGCGAGAAAAAAAAGTCAGAATTGCGAGAAAAAAAGTCAGAATTGCGGGAAAAATGTCTGAATTAAACACACACTTCGTTGTTTCTTATGCATTTACACACTCCTGCCATCGAATTGTTGTATAAACGCAATATCACACTCATAGCCGTGAGATTTAGCTGTATATTGGCACGATATATGATATATATTGATACATGGCCATATTGCACAGCTACTCCTGTGATATTGCTCATATTTATGTGAATATATATCAGAGCATATATGCTGTCAAATGATTAATGGCATCCACAATAAAAGTTTTTATTTACATAATGTATGTGTACTCTGTTTATTTATTATGGATATATAAATACCCACACATACAGTATATATTTTGAAAATATTTACATGTATATACATTTATATTATTATATATAAATATATAAACATAACTTATTTTTCTTAAATATATACATGCATGTGTTTGTATATATATATATATACACACATTACACACTCATATATTATGTAAACAAAAACTTTTATTTTGGATGCGATTAATCGTTTGACAGAATATATATATATATATATATGTGTGTGTGTGAATATAGTAAACTTGATATCAGGATTAGGCATAAAATAATGTCATACAGATGAAATATATTAGATCAAATATATAGTCTTTATGGAGGTACAGTAACTACAGTACTGAGTTTGAATCTGAGCTCTGAGAAAACATGTTTGAACAGGCTCATAGTTTTATTAGGGGCTTTTTAAAGCTTGTGAAGTGAAGGAAATGCCTAAAGACAAGACATTTCTATTTGAATCGCACTAAAGGGGGCTTTACTTTCCTCTGTGGTGTTTAAACTGTAAAACAGAGCAAGAAATCGAACCCAACGACACTTACAGATCAAATCCAAAGACTGGTTTGTTGTTAAAGGACAATGAAGCTCTAAAACACATTTTTTGAGATGTTAGCAGATATATACAGGTTGCACATCGCTGAAAACAATGTTAGTATTCATTATGTTTATTATTAAGGGGAACTTAGTTACTTTTTCTGTGCCATTTAATTCTCCTGGTTTGAAAAGCAAAGTTGAAGATATGTAACAAAATGTGAGGTAAATGTGTAAAAAATTATATTTAAAAGTTGATATATTTCAGGAAAATACTTCTGATTTTCTACTTCAAAGTTTGATGTTTACTTCAATATTACTTGCCGTGTCTTTGTAATTATTCGTGAAATTTACTAGCAATTTCTCAGTGAAGTATATTCTACACCTCAGATGTTTACATGTTTTATCTGGGGCTAATTCTCGTTTTTTTTCATCACAAGAACCCAGTTAAACCTGTCACTCTGCCATGTCTTCTTATCCACTAGGGTTTTGGAGCTGGAAACTTCAAATCTCTGTTCGAGGCCATCGAGAAAGACCAGGATGCCAGAGGAAACCTCACGGTTCTCACACCGAGGAGCCAGGGCGTCCCGAAGGCCTCTTACTAACACACACAACTGCATTAAGATGATTTACTCAAGCCTCATGCTGGAGTGAAATAATATGACACCATCAATTAAAATGTCCAGGACGACAATAAAGACATTTAATATAAGAACTGTATAATGTATCTGTATCGTTTTCTTATTTGTTCATCTGCTACATCCACTTTCAGAGTCAAATGGGACTGAAAAAAAAAACGTAAAATATTTTTCTGCAGAAGATTTAAGTGGTTCTTGCCTGTGCGGAGCTGGTCTTAATATGTTGGTCTCTTGTTAAAGTTAGAATAGTAGTTTATTCAACCACTAATTTAAATTTCAATAAACATTTAATATACTTGCTGAGAAAGTTTGATCGGGTTTGGGTGAACAACCAATATAACTTTCAAAAATTAATAACTTTTGAAGTTGGTAAAAGTCAAAAATGTTTTGTAGGTGGCTACTTTATTTATTTTTTAAGTTAACTCAAGTATTTATTTATTGGATATGACAAAATAGTTACTATTAACTACCCATACATAATACAAACATCCAAAATAATAAAATAACTAAAACATTAAATAAATAAATAAAAACAGGGACCTTAATTTTCATCATTACTTCCCGTGTGTGTGTGTGTGTGTGTACAATTATATATTAAATAAAAACAAATGAACACCACATTCTCTGTCTTTTTATTTCAAAATAATTTATTTGTATATAATCGGAATGATGCCAGGTTTATACATCTATGACGGCAGCTGTACGTTTCATAAAGAATATCATTCCAAAAGTGAGAAAATAACATTTTAAAAAATGTTCTCAGACCTGGACAAAAATGGATAAATATATTAGTAAATAAATATATTAGTGACATTACCATATTGAAATGTTCTATTATATATAAAATACAACACTTTATCTTATAACTGTTTTGTCTTTTTTTTTTTTTTTACACAAAATATTGAACATATACTGGCATATCCCTTGATTTCTGAAGGGATTTAGCTCTATTAAAAAAGGCAGTTTTCATAGATTTTCTGTGGAAAAGAGAGCGTATGAACAATACAGACATCATTTCTTGCTATTATGCACGGCTTTAAAATCTTTAATAGACTGAAAGTTTCTCTTTCTGAGTGTAATCTTTATAAAATGACTTTAAAAGTCTTTAACGATAATCAAAAACAACTGGAAAAGTCATTGGTCTTAAGGTGTGGGAACCCTGTATGAGGAAACCCTACACTGGGATTTACTATATTTTGTCTTGCATATATTTTCATTTAGGATTCAGCCTCATTTAGATGAAAATCAGCATGTGACGGTAAGAAGCCAAAAAGACTTATGGGAGATGTTTGTGGTTCAAAGGATAAAGACCTTTGACCAGTTTGACCATTTACTGACAAAAAAAAAACATTCAGGTGTTTGTCATGGCAAGATTTCCAGTGTTTCCTTTTCTTTACTTAAGGTAATGGTACAGGTTCAGAACTGCATCAGATATTTTTACAAACTGAAGGAAGTAAACTGGTTTACTTCCAGCATGTCACTTGTTTTAGCTTGTTTTGAACCCAGACCATTCCTTTGGATTTTACAATAAATGACAACAGAGATTTCTGGGTAACAGTATAACTATGCTTGCAGGCAATACGCATCGAGTCAACTCAAGTTTTGTGTGTCAGCTGGTATTGCCAGGAACATGACAGCAGGCTACATAAATGTATGTATACACGTCATGAAGTGTTCATTTCATGGATTACAGAGGCACTTTTGGTAAGCTTGTATGCTGGTTGGTTTCTATGAAATGTCGCATCCCTTTAAGGGAACATGAGAGTCAAAGAGGTGAAAGCATTCTGGGAAATGTAGTCCTTCTCAGCCCGAACACATTATAGGCTTAACAGACCAAAATAATGAAACAAAACAAAACAAAAAAATCTTCACAACTTTCCCTAAATATATTCAGTCAATTCATTCAGTTTTGATGAGCAAAATTAATAAATGAAGACACAAACATTTGTAAATAACAGCTGCCATTTCTGAATTAACAAAACCTGAAACCTCAATGAAATGCTCCTTTCCAAGGACAGATGATATAAAGTAAAGCTCCCTATCGCTCCTCTGAGTTAATATCTGTCAGAGGTAACGAGAGGCTAACGCACAAGTACCGTCTCGCTAACAGGACTTTCTGATTGGTTATCTGAGGTAGTGCTGGAAACCCAGGCCAGATGCTTGAACGTAGCCCAACACATAGTTAAAAAGCTAGAAATTAAATGGAAGAGGCGGGTAGCACCGCAATGACTAGATAGTTAAAAATGAGCCAGTAGGCTCAGTGAACTAATGAAACATACTTTATGCAAGTACGCAAACACAGAAGTAAGTGCACAGCCGATGCATTGCAAGCTCTTGTTTTCGTTGTACATGCTTCGTATTTCAGTCCTCAAGGTATAATGATACCTTCATATTATGTTAACAGAATTCCGCTATGATAGTAGTTACCCTGAAAGAGAAAAATTACTGTAGAACAAGACAAGCATTTTGAATTAATTCATTTCAGAACACGACAACCAAGCTTGTGTAGATAGAAGCGTCTACGTACTTGCATAAAGTACATACACCAAGTCTAAAGCTCAATGGAATACGGAAAGACTTGTTTAAATCTTGAAGGGCTTTCATGAAGATCACCAAGGAATTCTCAGACTTGTTTACAAGAGAAGATACTAATCGAATCCTGTTTTAAACCAAAGGAAAGGAAGAAACCATACTCAATCTCATGCGCATCTTCCAGATCCTTTGATAACTGCCTGAATTAATACCACTTGTTTGTCTATGAAAAGTCGCATTTGGACCGTATTGGGTAAAGTACCAAGAATTACTTGTTCCGGACATTAGAAAGGTGCTAGTAACAGAGCGTCACTACTGAAGAGTACTTTGGAAAACCCATCTAATCGTCAGTGACTGCTGAATTCTTTGTGAGAATGAAATCTGAGGTCTGGAGATTCTGAGTAATTCAGTTTGATATTGCAGAAGAATTTGGAATTATCCGGAAGACGCAACATGTGAGTGAAAGAGACAGCGAGAGATCGCCGAAGAGTTTTGTCCATTTCGGCTCTTGTGTAGCAGCGAGAGGAGTTTTGGATGAAGAGTTTTCTCAAACACCAGACTCTTCCTCTGACCCTGTGAAGAAAAAGAAAAAAAACGTTTCCATGTAAAACTCAAAGCTTTGTAAAAAATCAGCTTTGTACATTCAGGTTATAACCAGCAATAGAGAATTTTATACACCAACCCCATCACCCTAGTTCCCTCAACGAAAAGACAATAGGGTTTTTCAGTTGGCTTTTGGGCTACTGAAAAAAATAAGCTTTGTGACAAACAAAAGTTTATGATTCTAACGCATTTTTCTAAAAAAAAAAAAAGCTAAAATTTAGGATATACATCAATTACACCAAGGTTGCATGACTTCAACTTCACCATCACTAAGTTTCCGACACCTCTTTCAATCTTAAAAATCTACAAGTTGGAGTTGGAGTAGTTTGTGGGAATGTGACTATAAACACAAACAGGCTCTAAAAGTAGACTATTGAGTAGATAAGTTTACCTGTTTGAAAAGATGCGTAAAAGCTTAAAAAACATGAGTGGTAAAAATGGTGTATATTATGTGGTAGAATACAATGTGAAAATATCTTGAGCCTGTGGTAATCACAGACCTTATTTCAGGCATTTCACCAAAAACAACTGACTGCCACATGATGGAACCATAAGTTTAAAAATCCAACTCATGATACATGGGGCAACTTTTTGAGCAATTTTGCCAGGCAACTTTTTGAGCAATGTTGCTTGGGCACTTTCCCACTGAGAATGGGTAACAAATTTCGATCTAGATACTTTAGATCGGTTGTGGGCCCTGTATCTCACCTGTTTGCCCGTTGATAGCAACATTGCTCAAAAAGTTGCCCTGTGTATCATCAGCCTTAGGACTCATTCCAGCAGTGAGTCAGACATACTCACCCTGACTATTGTGTAGAGTTTGGCAGTACAGACAGATGTCCATGGGAAGTTCGTCCCCTGGGCCATGATGGGCCCTACACAGGGGTCTGTCCATTCCAGAAGTGGGTCCCAGGAGCTGAGGCTCTGAATGGGCCTGCTGCACCTGCTTCTGCCACACCACATGTGCCCCACTACAGCACGGCCAGTCGGTCATACCCGTTGAGTCCAAGATCAGGGGCACTGGCAGTAGCGTGGGGGCCATGTCTGGCGGAGGTGTGCAGCAGTAGCTTCCCGCTCCCTGTCCGTAGTGGATATGAATGCTACAATCATCCTGAAGGTCCAAGCTTTGATGGAAGTGAACAACCGGCGAAGGCACTTCCAATGGACAGCCAGCTGCTTTCCGACCGGTCGTCCACCCTGGGCCTTTGTGGCAACAGGGTGGGGACGGAGAGGTTAAAGGAGGAGAGGGAAGGATCACGGAGGCACCTGAGGAGGAAACAGGGTCTGGGTCTCTATCCTCAACCCTCCTTGAACTGAGGTCTGTTTTGGGGCAGTGGCAAGACTGGTGCTGTACCTGACACCCGGAGGAGTCTTTGTCTTTAGTTACGAGACAAGGCCCGCTTGCTGCCGCGGCTGAGGACGTGGCCCCTTGATCCTCGTCAGAGCATCGGCCGGGCCCTTGACTGAGTTCCCCATCCTCGTAATAGTGGTGTCTATGCCTGTGATAGTGAACGTGACTGAACACAGCCACCTGTTGCTGCTGTTCTTCCGGGCAAATGGCACCGGCATCACCGCCGCTTCCACCCCCGGTTCGGTTCACTACCGAGTCCAGGGAACGAGGCCTTTGCGTGGCCTCCATGCTCCCTCTGCGTGGAGCTTTGCCCGGTCCGCAGTAGACAAACGGGTCGTAATCGCTGCTGAGCGAGCTACGAAAAGTGGACCAGCTGCCATAGACACCCTGCAGGCTGATGTCCGTACAGTTCAATACAGAGTCGCTGGACGAGCCGTGGCACGATCCCGAGCTGGAATCACTGGCCGGTCCATCTGCAAGGTAACCGCTACGCTCCGTATGGTAACTCCCTCCCGAGCAGCTGCCGTCATCTTGGCGACTGTGCGAGCCTCTTCCATGTGGCAGGTGATGATGAGTTGCATGGTTTGCGGACGATACCACATGATGCATCCGCAAAGGTCCTCCGGGACACCGATGACACGACCTTCGGGGGGCTGCATAGTGATGCCCCCCGGTCCGACACCCGGGCCTGCCTGTCCTGTGCGGACGTCCATGATGGGCATCCGGAGCCAAGTGGTACGCACAGCTAGCACCCAATGGTCTGCTGGGAAAGCAACGGAGAGTCCGTGGATTAAGAGGGGGAGAGTTGCCATAGTGGCCCAATTGGGGTAAAGGTCCAGAGGGGTTACGTGGGTAATGATGCTGCAGGGAAAAGGGAACATGGTGCTGGGGATAAGGGTGTTGGTTCGAATAGTGATGGGGAAGGAGGAAGGCTTGACTGTGCTCAGGTGGAGGGGGTGGCATTCGACTTCTTTGGGGCTGACGGGATGCCAGATCTGAACCTAATGGAGGATAGATGGTGAATTTAGTTTGAAAACATTTGGTTCTTGAAAACAAGTCTTCTTGAAAATCAAGAACTAGAGTTCAGGGTACGTTCAGGCTTTGGATCTAAACAAATGAAATCCTGCTTCAGGTCTTACCAATCCTATATAACCTTCTTCCTTAGAACATTGAAAGACATTTTGAAGAACATTGGGGTCCAAACAACACTGGACCCTTTTATGTTTTGTGTTCCACAGAAGAAAGTCACACAGGTTTGGGCATCTCTTTAAACTGGATGTGTTCATATTTAGGAAGCATATGATAAAGAAATAAGAGGAATTTCAATACAGTGCTGCCTTGGAGGCTCTATAAAAAAGTTATTGGAGAAATATATATGTACCCTGAGGCTGTTTACCCATGATGTTGTGCATGCACAGTGGGCAGGTACGGTGTTGTAGGAGCCAGGGGTCGACACACTCCTTATGGAACTCATGAGCACAGGAGATGATTCTCAATTCCTGCCAAAGATAGAGAAAATGTAATATTAAATGTACCATTGGTGTGCCTCAATACAAAAGTGGTCCTTTCCCTGTCTGGGTTTGATGGTTTCTCTCGCCCCTCTTCAAAGTCATATAATGTTTTTTGTTCTTTTCGTCTCCTACCTGGCCATCCACGAATTCCTCAAGACAGATGGCACAGATTGGGCTGGAATTTGAACTGCTGTTTGACTCTGGAGCCCCACGAGAATGCTGGGAGCCAGAGCAACCCTGAGAGCTGTATGTGTGCGTTTCCAACCTGCTGATGGCACGCATGGTCTGCTGGTGCACAGAGTCCTGGGAGTTGAGAAAAAATGATTATGAGATTTCTAGAGTGAATTTAAAAGTCAAAACAATAAGTTATGATCATGCAGAACAGGAGAGGAGTACAATGATGCAATGGAAAAGTTACAATCAAGACTAAAAGTAAATGTAGACTGCATTGGTATATAATGCAAGGGTGACCAACTTCAGTCCTGGAGAACCACAGTCCTGCAGAGTTTCAAACCAACTCTAATCAAACACGCCTGAACGAGCCAATCAAGGTCCAAGGGTTACTAGAAAGCTACAGGCAGGTGAATTTTTATGAAGGCTGGAGCAAAACTCTGCAGGACTGTGGCTCTTCAGGACCACTCCTGGTATAATGTGTGTTGTGTTTTCTTACCCAGGTTCTGTTGGACCTGCAGCGGAAGCGTAGAGCAAAGATCATGATGATGGCCAACACAACCAGAGCCACAGTCAACAGGATGCCAACATCATAGTGAGGCTGTGTACACAACATACGAAGAGAGAAGCTTAAAATCCATTAGTCCTCAAACCACCAACTAATGGATTTTAACCCAATAAACAACCAGAAGGTGCTATCCCCAAAACACTTTAAGTTAAGGCAAATATTTGACACAAATGAAACTATCCCCTCTGAAAAGACCAGGATGGTTGGTTACAAAAGCTGTCACTGAGGCAGCACCATTTCTAAAGGCACTAGTATGTACACTTTGGAAACTAATGGTCTTTTAATATATTAATATGCACTCTTTAGGGGTAAATAAGGTACAAAGGTATACCTTCAACAGGATACTGCCACAGTTACAGTTCTTTAATGTATGTATGTTGTATGTTGCCTTTTAGATGTTGTCATCTATTAACTAGCTTAACCAAGAAGACTATCTTGGCCAACCAGCATCTCCAGAGGGACCATACTGGTTGACCAGCCCTACTAGGTAATATTTTCAGGCACATAAGAGTGTGATAATACTGGATCAACATTATTCCTGTTAAACCAACAGTGCTAACCCTGCCCTCCATTGATGACATTTATGTGTCACGTTTGCAGAAAAAAGGCTTAACAATTCTTAGAGATTCCACACGTCCGGCCAGACACTTTTTTTTATTCCTTTACCCTCAGGCAGACAACTTAGAGCAATTAAAACGAAGTCTGCACGCTTTTTGAACAGTACCTATTGTAGGATGGATATCTTTAGTTCTCAGTATCAAAGGTCACACGTGTCCATCAAACTCGGATATTTCAGCACAAATTCAGTATGAGGGATCTATTCCGATTGCACAGATGTCAGCAACACACAATCTACTCCATGCCTTCTGTCGTCTGATTGATAGTTTAGTCTATTTTAGCATGTAAAAGGTCTTTTAGTTTAGTTGTACAGAAGCTTGTGCTTCACGTGTCTTTTTGCTGTCAAATCTTTACTGATTTTTAGCAAGTAAACATCAGAATAATATAGCTTTACTTGATTCTCCATCAATCATTTTTTAGAAAAATCAGTGCATCTCAAATCTGATCCTCAGGATCTTTTGAGGAGCGTTTGTTTCCAGAAGCTTTACTTTCACTGTTCCTCAGCGGAGGAATGATCTTCACAAGCCTCCAGAACATCTCACATCTTCTGAGGAGCCTTTATTTCTTCAGCTCTCAATCACTGCATTATATGTTTGGAGCATTTCAAGCTCATCTCACTGAGACAGATTATTGGAGATATAGATTGACCACTGATATCTAGATCATTTTAAGGTAAGTATATGCTATACTGTTATAAAGATCTCATTGAATTATAACAGCATCTGCACCAAAATGCATATTTTTGCTCAGTTTGAGTCTCTGAATTAAATTTAGGTGTTTTTCCCTATATTCTCACTATATCAGACTATATGAGCCATAAAAGCATGATGTATCGAATATGATTCTCAACAAAACACAGATATGCAAATCATCAATTCATGATGTAACAGTAACTACATGCTGCGAGTGACATTTAGTTTCCTCTATAATCGACAGATGGAAAGGTAATGCTTTGACTGTAATTCTGGACACAGACTGTGCGTTAAAGGTTTAATAACAGCCTCATGGGTGCAGACGGACTCTCCAGAGACAGGAAGTACAATCACTGACCCGTCATTAGCCTGCTAGCTACACACACACACACACACACACACACACACACAGAGCTAACAGGTTTAACAGAGCATGTGCACGGAAATCATCAGTGTTTTCTATAAGAACCAACAGAGTTCAGATTACTGGCTCTGAGTTTTGCTCAGTGTGTGAGAAATCTTGAGAAACTTGTTAAGTGTGAGTTTAGCCTCATCTGCTGTGTTAATGAGAGGGTTCAGATGTGTGCGGAGTGTAATGCGACTTACAGAAGTGTGTGTGTGTGTGTGTGTGTGAGAGAGAGAGAGAGTCAGTGCTACCTGCCTGCTTTCAGCTGATTGGCCGGATGGAGCAGGAAGAGGCGGGGCAATCGGTGTGTTTGATGTGGGGTATAAGCTCATGATAGCAGATGTGTGTGTGTGTATGTATTTGGAATAACCGAAAACTGACAAGATAGAAGCCAATATAGTTTAAAAAAATTAAATTAGAATAAAAATAGAAAAAATAATTACATTAGTGCTGTCTACCTTTTCAGTGGCATTGGTTCTAGAAGTATTTTTCCTCATTCATTTTCTTCCCCATAGGTATTTTAAAAGGTGTTTTTTAGAGTTGAACCAAACCAACCACCTTATTAAACTTAACGGCTTTAATAAGGGAAATAACTACAATCCCATGAAGCATTGCGACTGACATAATGGAATTAAAAACTATAGAGAAATATAAAACTATTGATTCAAAGATGTTGATTACATACATAGAAACAATATCTTATAAATATATTGCAAAAATGCATTTATATACTTATATTTAAGTAGCTTGATAAAGTAGGGAGAATTCATAGTGCTTCATTCAGGAGTTCTTTTGGCGCAATCTGCTTCTCGCGATTCTCCGATTGGTGGAGATTTCACTGCAGAATTATGGGTAATGTAGTTTTTAACCAGGAATACCTCTGTTAAATAGTTATTTAAAAAATAAGTTGAAATAATGCGAACTGATAGCTTTAACAAAAGCATCTACCATTGATTAACAAACTCTGAGATCACAGTAGGTCTGTCTTTAACGGTTTATAATGTATTGTTAAAAATATATTTCCCTATGGAGAAAATGAATGGAGTTCATACTGTTCTACTGTACAATGAAAGCAGACAGTGACCAGAGGCTGTCAAGCACTAAAAATTACATAAAACTACCATAAATGTAGTTCATATGTCTCTGAACTCAAATATGGTACATAGGCATTTCTTTAGTGCTTTTTGTCCTTTTTCAAGCTCAACATACTCACAATGAACAGAAAAATACATTGTGAAAAACAGGTTTGGAACATGAGAAATAATGACAAAATATTTGAGTGAATTATTCATTTAAACAGACATTAAAGGAGGTTGGTGAGATAAAGGTATAAGAAATGCATTGAGATCATAATTAGACGCCCCTCCTCATCATCTCTTTCTTTTCCTTCACTTAATCACTCGACGGTTCATTCGATCGCACTAAACAATCATCCCTCTATCATCTACATAAATGGATGTTTGTTAATTCAGCTTGATCCCTTGTTCTGAGAGCTGTTGGTTTATTTCCAGCCCGCAGGCGAAGGGAGCCCATCCAACACTGGAGAGACAAAACCCTCGGATAGATTTCCTCAGATAACCTCCCATGATTAAAGTAAGCCACACACAAAGAATGAAACTCAGTCATCTACTGTAATAACTTCACATTCCTGAAATGATCTACTACAGTAGCCTGACGGTAACGTCTCACAGGCATCCAGACACTAAATAACAATCTCAATATTGGGCCGATCTACTGAAGCTCAATTTGGCAAATATATATAAATAAGATTATAAAATTGTAAAATTATCATTATGTATTTTACATAATAAAAATGTATGTGTGTATATATATATATCACACACAATCAAATACAATAAATTATATAACGGGTACAACTTTTAATTTGAATAATGTATTAGTTTAAATCAATAACATATTAGCTGAAATTAACATTAACTAAGATTAATAGATGCTTTATAAGTATTTAAATTGTTTTAATATTAATTATAAAAGTAAGAGTATTTAAATTAATTTTAAAGAATTAAAATTAAACTAAAGAACTAAAATTAAGAATTTAAATTAAATTAAAATTTTATTTTAAATGTAAAAGTATTTAAATTAATTTAATGTTAACTAATGTATTTAACTAACTGGAAAGTGTTACTAATATAGAAAATAAAGTGAAAAAAAAAAAAATATATATATATATATATATATATATATATAATATATGTGACCCTGGACCACAAAACCGGCCATAAGGGTAAATTTTTGCAAAACTGAGATTTATACATCCTCTGAAAGCTGAGTTGAGGTATACCTATGATGAAAATTACAGGCCTCTCTCATCTTTTTAAGTGGGAGAACTTGCACAATTGGTGGCTGACTAAATACTTTTTTTCCCCACTGTATGTATGTGTGTGTGTGTGTGTGTGTTTTATATTCAAAAGCAGACCCAAATACTACATGTAACACTGCACGTTTAAAATCTGGATAGGTTCACAGCGGTGAAGTGTTCCACGTGAGCATGATCTGTGACAGGGTAAACTGTGATGTGAAGCGAGAGTGAGGAGGGCTCTGAGCGCCAGCTTAATTAGCCGCTTCTTCCTTGCTTTCAAAACATTCCTGTTTTGATCCGTATCCTGTTATTCCATAAGACCCGTGAATCCGATCCACCCGAAGTATTGGAGCGCTAATAACCCGGCCTCCTCAGAAGATCTGCACGCTTTCTCACAACTTCTGTGCTGATTGAGGGGAAATCTGTGGAATGGATTTAAACGCGCTGAAGAGAGCTGGAAAGGCAGTTGTTACATCGATTATACTGTGCTAGATGAATTTGCATGGCTGATTTATGCTATTTACATGTGCAGCACAGCAAATAATGGAGTTTTTATTTAGTATTTTTGTCTTGTTTTCCAGTATACACATATCTAAACATTCTTAAATCAAGATATACTTACTTGAGATGCAAAATGATAAAAGATTCTTGCTTTCTGAAATATCTGAGATTATGCTAAAAACAAGAAAAAATCTGCAGTGAGGTTAGAAAAATCTACTTAATTCAAAGGGAAAACAAGTTTCTTTTTCTGATCACTGCCAGATATTTTTTTCTTGTTTTAAGGAATTTAAATGTCATATAATGTAAATGCATTTGATTTAAGAATATTTAAATATTTGTACTAGGAAAAAAAAATACTGAGGAAGAAAACAACTTTTGCAGTGTTGCACATAACATAAATCAGCCATGCGAATTCATCTACCACAGTATAACTGATGAAACAAATGCTTTTCCATCTTTCTTAAACATGTTTAAAGAAGAAAAGCTTTCTTTCTTT